CCACAGAGGACGATGACGAGCCCAACTTAACACAGACGCTCCTGTTTGAGAGTAGGTGACAAAAATAGTGATCTTTATTTTACACACTTTGCGCAGTCAGTGTGGGAAGACAATTTGCAATACAATCCTTCTTCGAATGGACCGTCCCGCATCCTTATATTACCATGATGACGTCACAGTTAGATCTTTACTGGAAATGATAACAGTCCCCACACTCAAAAGTTCTCCTTATATGGACATCAACTGCTACTTTTAGAGAAAAACAAGTGTGTATTATATTGTGCATTTTGTGAAAGTATATCTATCAGAAAAACTGTCCTCAGACGACCCTCCTATTCTTACTAAGTGTGTGTGTGAACGTGCGTGTCTTACATAAGTGTGTGCATGTTGTTACAGGCCTGAGTACGTGCAGAACTGAATGTAGACAGCCCAGGGTCCAACAGGACCCACAAGTCCGAGCGGTTAACTGCTTAAGCAAATAGAAAGAATAATACAGAACAACAATAGACTGACTAGAGTACTGATAATCTGTGTGCATTAATATTTGCTCAGAGTAACATAGATGTGATTCAAAGATTATTCTGTCAACTGATTCAACAATGGTAAATGATTAATCAATGATAATTCTGATTATAACTGTGATCATAAGAATACAAAATAAAATATCTCCTGGCCACACCAGAAATGCCCACACAATGCTGTAATCGAGAGATCAGCAGGTCGTGATCCACTGTGTCAAATGCAGCAGTCAGATCTAGTAGTATAAGCACTACATGTTTACCACAGTCCGTCGCTAACAGAATATCGTTCATAACCTTTATGAGAGCTGTCTCTGTGCTATGAAACGGCTTAAAGCTGGACTGAAAAACTTCAAACATTTGAGAGTTGTTTAGATAATCCATCAGCTGAGTGTGAACAACCTTTTCCAAGATCTTACTCAGAAAAGGAAGTTTAGAGATGGGTCTAAAGTTTGACATTACTGAAACATCTGAGCCTGGCTTCTTAAGTAAGGGGTGAATAACTGCATGCTTAAACCTGCTTGGTACTTGACCTGACAAGAGGCTGGTATTAATTAGGTTCAGAATATGTGGTCCAACAGTAGGAACAGTGCTTTAAGTGGGCCGGTACGCGCCGGTACTCAGTACCGCCACTCAGTACCGCCACTTCTAAATATAGCTCTTGAGAGTACCGCCACCTCTCCATGCACCCAGAACGTGCTTTTAGCGTACCGGTACTCTCATTTGCACATCTGTTATAATCATTTGGCTGCGCTGCCACTTTTCAGAGCGCCCTTCACAAGCACGCTTCCTAATTCGTCCCACCGAGAGCAGAGACTACATTACCCATACACCAATGTGTTTTACAAGTGAAAAGCGCATGCGTCGCTTTTGCCGTTGTCATGTCAACAACTCAACGTGGTCCGGAGAGGGTGTGTAAAACGCGCAAACAGCTGCTCGGTTAAAATACAAAAACAATGAACACTTAATATGCTCTCCTGGCTTCAGACTCTGAGTAGTAAAAGAACAAGGTAAGAATCAGAGGACTCGCTGGCTGACACCCCACCAAGCCAGAATGATATCGCTGCAGGTCAGACGCAAGCTAATGAAAGCTGCACTAGTGCCGCAGCCGCGGACGACGGCACTTTTTGCGACGGCGAGGATGAGAATGACACCATTTCTACCGATGACAACAGCCGCGTTAGCGAGCATGAGTGGCCAGAATGTTGTTCCCAAGCACAAGTCCGGTATTTCTCCACAAATTACAAGTGGCTGATCAGCAGAAATCAAAAGTTGGGTTGTAGTGTGTGTAGTCAAGTTTGTGCTCGCGTGGACATGCAGCAAGGGCAGAGAGTGTCGCAGGAGTGGAGTGGGTGCTTAATCTCGTCTTTTGGAAGGGACAAGGCTGCACAACAAAACTCACTACGAAAGAAAATAAAAGAGCACAGAGACTCAATTTATCACAAGAAAGCAGTTGAAATAAAAGAGAAGGCAACACAAAATACAATGCAAAAACACATTGAAGATATGAGAAAGGCTGACTACGCTTCAACTTGCAATGTGTTTAGAACAGCTTATAAGATTGGCAAGCATGGGCGTCCCTTTACAGACATGCCAATAGATGTCCAGTTGCAAGTCTTAAATGGTGTCAAGATGGGCAGAGTTTTGCACTCTAATAACTCATGTGCAAATATACTGGATCACATTGCAGCTGAAATGAAAAAGAAGGTAGTCAATGACATAGTGATGAATGAAAGAAAATTGTGTGTGCTCATTGATGAATCCACTACAATAAGTGGAAAGTCTGTGCTTGTCGTGTGCCTGCGGTCAGCTATTTCCAGTGAAAATCCAGACACAATATTTTTTGAACTGATTGAGCTGCAGGGGACCACAGCAAAGGACATCACTGAAGCACTGTTAGGATGTCTTCATAATAATGGCTTTGACCCTCACTACCTACAGGAACATTTGTTGGCATTTGCTTGTGATGGAGCCTCAGTGATGCTTGGGAGGAAAGCAGGAGTTGCTGCGCAGCTTTGTTCCAAATTCCCTTACCTGTTTGTCTGGCATTGTTCCAATCACAGACTGGAACTGGCAGTTTGTGATGTTTTGAAGGAGGTAGGAGGAATCAACCACTTTAAAATATTCTTAGATCAGCTTTACTCCCTCTACCATGCATCACCAAAAAACCAAAGGGAGTTAACCGAGAGTGCTCACAATGTTGGACAACGTCTCCTTGTGATAGGCCGTGTTTTATCAGTGCGTTGGGTTGCTTCAAGTGAGAGAACAGTGAAAGCAGTATGGGAGAACTACCAAGCTCTGCAGGTACACTTTACAAGTGCTGCTGCTGATACCAGCAGGGACTCAAGAGAGAGCAAAATACAAATTAGTTTATAATTTATTTTATGTACATTTTGTTAAAAAAAAGTGAGTAACTTTACAAGTGCTGCTGCTGATACCAGCAGGGACTCAAGAGAGAGCAAAATACAAATTAGTTTATAATTTATTTTATGTACATTTTGTTAAAAAAAATTTCAATACCTTTTTGCACATTTTATTTATGTTCAGTAGCTCTTTCTAGCTCAAGCAAATCCACAAACTAATAAAATGATTTATTATTTTGTATAAGGTTGTCTGTTGACTGTTGTATATAAAACCCATTCAATGTAGTTGTTGTTACCTCAGGGGAGGAGGAAAAAAAATAGAGTACCGGCACCTCTTTTGGGCCACTTAAAGCACTGACTATGGGATAAGGTGGCATCGTTCTAATCCCATACGGGAGCAGCCAGTCACTCACTGACTAACACTGCAAAACAGAATTGTTAAAGTATTAATTTTAATTTCAATTCAGGTTAGATTTTTTTTTGTGCGCAAGCAGATTTTCTGTGCGCAGAGACCGTGCCAGCAGTGCGCAATTGCGCACGTGCGCAGCTTAGAGGGAACATTGGTCTCAAACTGGCAACCTTATCCACAAAGAAATTAAGAAACTTATTACACATAACCTCAGAAGATTGCAAAAGAACATGATCCTCTGCATTCAGTACAGAATTAATGGTATTATACAGAACACGAGGGTTATGTGAATTAACAGCAATAAGTAGTGAAAAATAGGTATTTACTGCCCTCTGATAAGCTTTCCAGCTCGTCTTAAGAGCTTCCAGAGAGACGTACAGTCTGTCCTTTTTCCATCATCTTTCACATCTCCTACATTCTCTTCTAATGGCTCGAGTAAAATCGGTTAGAGCTGGCCTTGGGTTTACACTGCCTGAGTCTTACAGGTGCAACAACGTCAAGGGCAGATTTACAAACAGAGTCCAGATGAGATAGTAATCCATCTGCGGAGGACGACTCAGAGGGACTGGACACAAGTTGTTCAAATAGTGTTGAAAAATGCTCAGCAGTATCTGAGCCGAAGGCACGATAACACTGCGTAGGTGCAGCCCGTTTAACAACAGGACTAAGAGGACAGGACTTTTATATCAGCAGGCACACCTCTATCAGTCTTTCTCTTCCACTATCTAGCCATGATGCTGTAAAAGTATATGTATGAGTATATGTAACATCAAAAAACTATTCACACTTTGAGCAAGGGGATGGTTGTAACACTTTTAAAACATATGTCATAAAACACGCCAGCCTTGGAAGTCATTGTTTCACTAACTGCATAGTGGGTTAAAATTAGCAGGCCATCACAGTTTGTCTAAGAAACTAAAAATTAATATACTGTTAAGTCATAATTTTTTATCTGCAGTTGTGTAACAGTTTAGTTCTTTCGTCAAAATTAATTTTTTCCCAATGAAATCAACATGCAGTTGCTTGTAGCCATGACAACCAGCATGTGAAATCAGGAATGAAAGTGAGTAAACACTTAAATGATAATATTACTCCTATATCATGCCTGATTGGTGTGATTGGTGATGTTACAACTCTCTCCGCGTTACAACCATACGTCTCCCCTACAGAAAATCAAACACGAACTAGAAAAGATATAAAGCAGCCATGCACATGCAATATAATCTGAATTATTATTCCAGCTGCCACAAGCAGACAAGATTTTCAAAAAAAAGGGTGAACTGAGATTTTATTTGACATGAGTTTAGCAGTAGCACTATCTAAACAGGGTTCAACATGGTTTTGGAGATAAAAAACAGATGTCATGACTGCGCTTTCAAATGTAGGTTTCAAGTGGGATCTATTTATTTAAATATTGGCCTTACCTAAAGGGGGATATATTTTCCTAAACAAATTGATTTGGTTGACTTAATTCCTTTACCTTCCCCAGATACCTTGAAAATTCAAATTCAATTAAATAAATAAAACAAAAAGATTACCAAGAGGACCCTACAGAGAGTCTACACTGCTCCTCTTGGCAAAACAATTGTGTTCAACAAAGGTTGCAGATGATGATTCTGCTTGCTAAAACTGCCAGACAGGGTGGGTTCAGGGGGGGGGAAAGAGTACAAACATTTTTTCACCATTTCACTCCTGTGACATGCATTTAAAGTGGCTGGAATAATGCTTAAAGTATTCAAATGTAATTCAAAAACTACCTGGCTCATTCTCCACCTCTTCGTGTCATCCCTTTCTAGGACAGAAGGCACATGGTAATATAAACATAGTTCCAAACACATGACAAGGGACGAGGCTTAAAGTGTGTATCAGCTGTTTGCTAGATGCTGGAGCTCACATATTTGACTTATTCCAGGTAAGTATAAATGTAACAAACATCAGAGGTCTTCTGTGGGCTTTTTGATAATATGTAATTGTGTAATGTTCATTTAATGTTGTGTTTACATCTCGCTGGAGTCTGATGTTTGCATCAGCTTACATAGATGTCTTGCCTCCTTCCTGCTGGCTGTTGTGGAGTGCAGCCCTCCACAACAATGTGGAAGTTTGGGGAAATTAATTTCCCACCAACTTCCTATTACATTATTAATTGGCATTAATTAATCGTGTAGTGAATAGTTGTATTTATGGAGAAAAAAGTATAGAAAGTAATAAGTGGAATGCAGATTTTCTTAAATGTAATATTTCCATTTGATGTCGCTACAAGTCAGAGGGAATTATTTCTGTTTATTTATAATTTAACTTCACCTACTGTGTGTTATTTAGAAGAAAAAAATAACTTTTAAAATTAAGTTTTACTGCCAGCTTTCATTGATTTCATTTAAAGTTTATTATTTAATGAGTAATGTCTGTGGTCTTGTATCTTGCTCTAAACACTTTTTCTGCCACAGAAACTCACCAACAAACACTTATCAACTCATGGTATAAGTGAACCATCCGACAGCACATCATGAAACAGAATGCAGTGCTGATGATGGTCCTGTCAGGTCAGTGTGAATCATTTATTTCCAAAATTCTATGAAATAAACATTTGTTAAAAATGGGTTAGTACATCAATGAGTAACTTTTGTTGAGGTCTAAAGTCTGAAACAAAGTCTTTGTTCATTATTATACAAGCCTCTCCTAATTTTGCCACTATGAACCAACATTAACAAACTACTATATAATGTCTCATATTCAATAGTTTATGAGGATCCAGAAAATGTCTGATTTGCATTTGTCATGAAATGCTTCAAAGTGAGTTTCTTTATTCTTACCACAGGACTGTGTTTCCTGCCTGCCTGTTTTCCTCGACTCTACATACTTGTTTCACAGGCAAAAGACTGGAGCAGCGCTAAACAGTTCTGTAGGAATAAGTACACTGACCTGGCCTGTGTGCATAATGAGAAAGACCTGGCAATGGTCAATAAACTTACAAAGGGACTTTTAAGCGTTTGGATTGGACTCCAGCCTGACACTGAAGCATGGAGGTGGTCTCTGGAATACCAGAATTACTATGTTGAAGGAGGAGCTGAGTTCAGAATGTGGGCTAGTAATGAACCCAATGTTGGTCCAGGATACTACAAAGCATGTGTGGCAATGCTCCCAAGTGGGGAATGGGCAGATCAGGCGTGCGGTGTCACATACCCATTCATCTGCTACTACAAAAGTAATGAAAAACAGTTATGTCGTTATTAAGACTTTAGCTTTAACATATTCCATGTTGTTTTATTAATAGTTACTCTGATCTTTCATTTATAAGGTTTGTTCAAGGATTTTACAACCTTTAGTTTTGTAGAGGAAGGAATGAGGATTTAAGAGATTGAAGAGAAGATCTTACTAAGGATGGAGGAGTTAGTCCTTATTACTAAATCTTTTATCAGAATAAAATCTGGTCAGAAAAATGACATTACACTTAATTTAAATTACAAAAAAAGTTACCATATTACTATATCAGGTTCTCCTGTGTTTGCAATAAACAAATAAATAAATAAATAATCTATTTGTATATATTTAGTAACCAGATTATTTCAACATGAATGCTACATATCTTGTAGTTACCAGTCCAATCTGTTGTATTAGACTACTACCAAAACATCTGTACGTATATGTCTGTGACAGGTAACGCAGTTATTTTCCCAAATACCAAGAGTCCAAAAAAACCAAACACATTTACATGCTACACAACTATTATACAGATATTGATATATTCTTGGAGACTGACTGAATGAAACATATTTCCAGACACATCGAGCTTCATCTATGTGAATGTGAGTGAGACCTGGAAGAACGCTCAGAGCTACTGCAGAGTGAAGCACACAGATCTGGCCAGTGTGAGGAACCAGTCTGAGAATGAACAGCTGAAGATGATGTTGAACAATTCCCCCACGTGGATCGGTCTTTATAGAAATGCATGGATGTGGTCAGATGGGAGCGCATATTCATTCCCCAACTGGGCTCCCAACAAGCCACTGAGTGAAGACAACTACTCCTGTGGCACCACATATTTAGAGAAGTGGCACAACAGTGCATGTAATGGCTACAATTACTTCCTCTGTTACACTGGTGAGCTATCATTTGTTTTGGCTACAATTTAACATTTACAGAAATTCTTGTTCAATCTTTTATTCTGCAGTGTAATTCTTATGATAACACAGCATTTTGTATAACAGATGTCAAGGACCAGAGACTGTTGAAGGTGGAGCTGAAGACAACAGATGCCTCTGTGGACATGGAGGTGCTGCAGAATGACATCTTGGAAAAGGTAACTAGAATAGCATTTTATATAAACAAACCAAAACAGACAAAACAAACAAGCAAACAAAAGATGGATCCTCATATTTTTTCCCCACTAACAGCAGCCTCAAGTAATGTATCAGTCAACATAATATCAAAACTTCTGTCACTCTCCCACAACTGATTGTGAAATTGTTAATGGATATTTACTGATAAACAGCTGTTAAAAAATGCACTGTGTGAGAATAATAAATATGTTTTCCAGTTCAATCAGAGGCTGATGGAGAACGGTCTGAGTGAATTCACGCTGAGATGGGTGAAGCAGCTTGATGGAAACATCTTCCACAAAAAGGAACAAGAGGAGGAGAAAGAGGAGACTGAAGAGGAGATCTGTGCTGTCACACTGACACTTTGATTTTCCAGCAGCCAACTTCAGTTAACTGTGGTGTGTCCTATCTCTCTGTCCTGTTCACTGAAAAAAATAACCTACATCGGTTGCAAGCAATAAAGTTATGTTTAGTCAGCCTTAATTTTCTTTTTTATAACTCAACACTTTTATATGTTAAATGAACATGATTTTGATGTTTTTTGTTCCTGTAAAGTCTTTACAGCTATCTCATGATAATGTAACACAAAATGGTTGTTTATGATTATACTTTTTTATGTTGAGAGTATGTAGGGTTTTTTTATGAGAGGGAAGACAAATACACTCCAATTATAACTTTTAACAGTTTATTAGCAAAATGGTTAGAATTAGTTTTACATGGCGCCATGGACCTCCTCTCTCTGGCTCAGAGACAAAAGGCTGCCACACCCAGGAAGTAAACACTTTTTTATTGCATGTCACGAAAACATAAAGAGAGCTTCTCCAACCCCAGAAATTTATGGCCATGTTTCCTCTAGCGCAGTCAGGCTTAAAGTTTGTACCTTCTGGTGCTTTCACTAGTGAGACACCCTGTCAGGTTTGTATTGTTGATTGTCATTTATGCTTAGAAATATTTAACCATATATGCTTAGAGGTGTATAATCGATTGTGTAGTGATAGGATGTGTGATCCTTAGGAGTCTGCAAAGACTTCGTGTGCATTCCAGAGTGCTCTGGCATTCACACCCACACCCTGGGAGCATGGGAGAGGTCGTACCTTGTTTTATTGTTTTATGGTAGGATAAACGTAGCTATGTCAGTTTTAGCTAAGTGCCTTTTGTTTAGATGAACTGCTGGACTTCCAGACCAGCAGGTTTAGGGAAGTCTTTATGGGGTCACACTCTGACCCCCCACCACACAACACACACACCACACACACACACACTTACACAACGCACAGGCAAGGTACTCTTTGTGTGTATGTAACGTCATATGTTAATGAACCTATGTATTTTCATGTAACCACAATAAAAGGAGTGTTACAGGGAACCTGTCTGACGGAGGTCAAGTGGGTGGAACGACACTTGGTTCCAGGCAGGCCTCCCTCATGCATGAGTAACACAGAGAACTTTGCCTACTTGTGTCTTGGTTTTGCTGTGTAGTAAATTGTCTTGAACGATCCAGCGAACAGGTTTATGCTACAAACCTATCACTCCCCCTCCCCCTCAAATTCTTAGAGAAGGGGGCTCCTCTCTGTTTATGTCTGTTAGTATCTGATTATAGCAATCTACTTCTAATACCACTCTACAATTCTTACTGTGTGTAATAAAGCAGCGGTCCCCAACCTTTTTTACGCCACGGACCGGTTCCCCAACCTTTTTTGCGCCACGGACCAGTTTATGCCCGACAATATTTTCACGGACCGGCCTTTAAGGTGTCGCGGATAAATACAACAAAATAAAACTAGTACCGGTACCGAAAAAAAGAAGATTTATTCATAACACACGTGAAAAGACCCAGGAAAACCGAGTTAACGATAAAAACGATAACAAAATAACGCTGAAAACCGATAAAAACCCTGAAAACCATACATTTCCTACCTGAGCCTCAACTCTCATGGCCCAGTACCAAACGACTCATGGACCGGTACCGGTCCGAGGCCCAGGGGTTGGGGACCGCTGTAATAAAGTATAAAACAAACATGCGATGCTAATTATGAGATATTAGCCTTAAAGATAAAAAATAAACCCCAACATGTATTTAGTTATCTTATGTTAAACCAATATACACATTTTGGTCGGCCAAAATGTTCTTTAGCTGGATTAGCTGAATGTCTCAGAGTCTAGGGAATTCAGTATGACAATGGTGACACACCCTTGGGACTCTATTTACTGAAGATACGTTTACAAAAAGTCTATCCAGTGAGTGATGGTGAGTGCTGAGTAATCGCATATGAGAGCATGAGGGTGGGAAGCTATGTTTGTATCTGTGTGTCAGGTTGGGTATCAGACGCCAGCACTCTGGGGACATCTCAGGTCCTTCAAGGTATGGAGGCCGATCTCCCCCCCACCACTTCCCCTGCCGGTGGCAGACGCCCTGCTTCCGGTTCCAAACTACTCTGTGTTTATTAAGGCTGTTGTGTTTCTTGTTCTATTTAATCTAAACAAGCCCCTAAAAGCAGTTAGTGATCACTGTCGGCCTCTCTCGGTTTTGATCATCACTATTCATTTTAAAGCTCCGTTTTTAAAACCTTATGATATAACTACAGCCCAGCCCATGCAGCACAAAATTAATGACTAACCTCGTATTGTGGATGAATTATGTCAGTTGTTCTCCTGACCGAAGTTGGGTCCGTTTACAGCATCCTACCATGCGACTGCATTTGTCCTTAACCATCGGGAACCCTCACATTAACTTTTATTCAGTGGAAAAAAGTTCATCCTCCAGCTTCACTCTGCTAATGTGTTTATGTTATGCTAATCATATTTGTGTAGCTAGCCACGATGTAGCACATCATACCAGCTGGCTCAGCTTCAGTAACCCTACAAACGTCACTGCTGTTTAGTTTTCTGTCTTCATTTATGTCGGAAGTGATAACAGAGCTGTACGTTTTATATTTTTTAAGAAATCCCTCAGTCAGAACATGGTATATTATTTGTCCCTAAAACTTTGGGGGGAAACTTCCCGCATACCACCAGTGGTATGTGTACCACAGTTTGATAATGACTGCTGTAACAGATCCAGGAAGTCTGTGTAGTTGTGGGGTGCGAATCAATACTGAAATATTGATTCTTCCGAGACCAGATATTTACAGTGGGGCAAAAAAGTATTTAGTCAGCCACCGATTGTGCAAGTTCCCCCACCTAAAATGATGACAGAGGTCAGTAATTTGCACCAGAGGTACAGAGGTACACTTCAACTGTGAGAGACAGAATGTGAAAAAAAAATCCATGAATCCACATGGTAGGATTTGTAAAGAATTTATTCGTAAATCAGGGTGGAAAATAAGTATTTGGTCAATAACAAAAATACAACTCAATACTTTGTAACATAACCTTTGTTGGCAATAACAGAGGTCAAACGTTTACTATAGGTCTTTACCAGGTTTGCACACACAGTAGCTGGTATTTTGGCCCATTCCTCCATGCAGATCTTCTCGAGAGCAGTGATGTTTTGGGGCTGTCGCCGAGCAACACGGACTTTCAACTCCCGCCACAGATTTTCTATGGGGTTGAGGTCTGGAGACTGGCTAGGCCACTCCAGGACTTTCAAATGCTTCTTACGGAGCCACTCCTTTGTTGCCCGGGCGGTGTGTTTTGGATCATTGTCATGTTGGAAGACCCAGCCTCGTTTCATCTTCAAAGTTCTCACTGATGGAAGGAGGTTTTGGCTCAAAATCTCACGATACATGGCCCCATTCATTCTGTCCTTAACACGGATCAGTCGTCCTGTCCCCTTGGCAGAAAAACAGCCCCATAGCATGATGTTTCCACCCCCATGCTTCACAGTAGGTATGGTGTTCTTGGGATGCAACTCAGTATTCTTCTTCCTCCAAACACGACGAGTTGAGTTTATACCAAAAAGTTCTACTTTGGTTTCATCTGACCACATGACATTCTCCCAATCCTCTGCTGTATCATCCATGTGCTCTCTGGCAAACTTCAGACGGGCCTGGACATGCACTGGCTTCAGCAGCGGAACACGTCTGGCACTGCGGGATTTGATTCCCTGCCGTTGTAGTGTGTTACTGATGGTGACCTTTGTTACTTTGGTCCCAGCTCTCTGCAGGTCATTCACCAGGTCCCCCCATGTGGTTCTGGGATCTTTGCTCACCGTTCTCATGATCATTTTGACCCCACGGGATGAGATCTTGCGTGGAGCCCCAGATCGAGGGAGATTATCAGTGGTCTTGTATGTCTTCCATTTTCTGATGATTGCTCCCACAGTTGATTTTTTCACACCAAGCTGCTTGCCTATTGTAGATTCACTCTTCCCAGTCTGGTGCAGGTCTACAATACTTTTCCTGGTGTCCTTCGAAAGCTCTTTGGTCTTGGCCATGGCGGAGTTTGGAGTCTGACTGTTTGAGGCTGTGGACAGGTGTCTTTTATACAGATGATGAGTTCAAACAGGTGCCATTCATACAGGTAACGAGTGGGGGACAGAAAGAG